AAATCTCACGTTCTGCTGCCAGAGATTACTTTTATAAAAACGGAGGTATTGATTCAGTGAAACAGTTTGACCTCTACTAATTTCAATGGGATCTCAATAAGAAAGTAAAAGAATAGAGAGAAAAATCAAAAGAATACCTTGCTATTGTATAATAGCAATAACAAACCCACAGAATTTTGATGTACAACCCAATCCTTCAACTCGGCATTATCCCGGTATTATTTGAAAAACACCTGAAAGAAAACTATGAACCTATGTAATTTGTTTAACACCCCACCTAAGAGACTGAAGTTCTCTTTCCATCCCACAGCACAATAGGTATTTTTTCTTATGGAGCTAAGGTTGCATATTAACTTTAAAGTGATGTGCTATGTCTTAGCAGTCTATGCAAAATGCCAAAACATACTGCTTGTTTGCTAAGATATTCTGCTTAGATATTCTGCTCTAAAGCTCAAAAAAACCAGTCATCTCCCATGTACGATAAGAAAAAATTATGCCCTCTGCCTTTGGTGTTATTGATTGAGCAAGTGATATAGAGATGCACATTTCATATCTGCTTCATGACTCATCCACCATGATGAGTTGGTCCCAATCTACTCTGGATATTTTGAATAGAATAGAATAGAATAGAATAGAATAGAATAGAATAGAATAGAATAGAATAGAATAGAATAGAATAGAATAGAATAGAATAGAATAACAGAGTTGGAAGGGACCTTGGAGGTCTTCTAGTCCAACCCCCTGCTTAGGCAGGAAACTCTACACCACTTCAGACAAATGGTTATCCAACATCTTCTTAAAAACTTCCAGCGTTGGAACATTTACAACTTCTGGAGACAAGTTGTTCCACTGATTAATTGTTCTAACTGTCAGGAAATTTCTCCTTAGTTCTAGTTGCTTCTCTCCTTGATTAGTTTCCACCCATTGCTTCTTGTCCTACCCTCAGGTGCTTTGGAGAATAGCTTGACTCCCTCAATCATATAAAGAATAAGCAATCATATCCCCAGTCTACCTGTATATCTTGATACAGGCTACTTATTAAAAAATACAGTGAATTTTTGCCATTTTTTTCTGTTATAATATTATTTTGCCAAAATAATGCAAACTCTGTCACTTCTGTTCTATAGTAGTGCCCTTTATATCACTTGGGGCTACTTTTAAAAGTGGTTTGGAAATTGTAGCTGGTCAGAAGGAATTCCCAAGTTTATTGATGTGATTGAATGTTTTAATCACAGTGTATCCATAGAGTGTCAGATAAACAGTCTTCCAGCCTTTTCCCCACAGGTCTTAATTTATAAAGCCCTGGACAACTTTAATGTATACGGAGAGTCCTCGACTTCATTTAGTGACCATTAAAAGTTATAACGGCACTAGAAAAAGTGACTTATGACTGTTTTTCACACTTATGACCATTGTAGATCCCCATGGTCACATGATCAAAATTCAGATGCTTAGTGACTGATTCATATTTATAATGGTTGCAGTGTCCCAAGGTCATATGATCACCTTTCTGTAACCTTCTGATAAGCAAAGTGAATGGAGAAGCCAGATTCACTTAACTGTGTGACTAACTGAATAACTGCAGTAATTCACTTAACAACCGTGGCAAGAAAGGTTGCAAAATGGGGCAAAACTCATTTAACAAATGTCTCACTTAGCAACAGAAATTTTGGGCTCAATTGTGGTCGTAAGTCAAGGATTTATCTTGATTTACAAGGACTATCTGTAGTTGAAGAACTGCCTTCTCCATCTTTTCCTTCTTCCTAGCAAGCAAGCAAGCTAACCAGCCAGCCAGAGTTTCTGAATTTTAAGATCTTCTTTAAGGCCTCAATGTGCCAAATCATTGCGATCACAATTGGGACTGGAACTTGATTGTTATGTGAAATGGTTGCTAAGTGAAACTACTATTATGTTTGAAATCCTACCTTAGCTTTCCTTTTACGTTACAGACCTGCAAAGGTCATAAATGTAAGAACTTGATGGAACTAATGAAAATTACCTTTTTATCACCATCATTACTGTACACTCTCACTGTCTGCGGCAGTTGCTAAGCGAGGGCTATCTCTAAAGAGATATCTGACCATATGAAACAGGTGTTTGTGGGGTAGGCACCTGATCTGGTGAAATCATCTTTATTTATGAAGCCTCTTTAAATTATATCTTACTTGATTTTTTCCGTTGCATTAAATTTCAGCATCCTAAAATGGGACATTTAATTTAAAATATGTTTGTTTGTTTTCCTAGAGCCTAAATAACAGCTATTATAGATGGTCTATATAAAATACAATATGCATATCATATGGCTTGAAAAATGAGACTTGTTCATGCTGGATTTTGAAAAAAGTACGAATTATTTCAATGAAATGCTACTGGATCAGATAGATGCATTCCAATTTATTTCTACTTAGTTCTCATCAGTTGCACCATTTTGCAATTATAAACAAGTCTAAACAGAAGTCAGCTTTAATTTACAGAAATTAATATTCAAGCAGCACCACAATTAGGAAAACATTCACAAAGATGCATACAAAAGGCAAGCAATCCCACCTTCTCATACTCTCAAATATATATATATATATTGGTATGGGAAAAATAAGCAAATATTAATTTTGCTTTTTCTGAATCTTTTTGCTTCTTCTTAGTTCTTCCTCTTTTTTTCATTTAACTTTTCGTTTATTTTAAGAGGTTTATATTGCCAGATTTGCATGTAATTTAACTTGTAATTTGGAGAAGAGGCTAAGAATAAAAAGATGAAAAAAGATGAAAAAGGAGAAAGAAGAAAAAAGGCATTCAATGATTAAGTATTTAAAATTCAAATTGATTTCAGTAGATAATTAATCTTACATGCAGTTTGTTTCATTTAAAAATAACCCATGAGAGATGCAGTTCTGAAGTCTTGATTGCACTTATGTACATTTATAATTGGTGAATAACATTCTGATAAGGCAACTACCAAATGTTGGTCAACAAAAGAATATATTAATTTGGCCAAGAGAAAAACTGATTTCTGCCACATTGTAACTTATCTCAATGGGGACTAGCCCATCCCACACAGGCTGGCAGAGAGGACCTACTGGGGATCCTATCAGTCAAGGGATTACAGCTGGGTTCGGGAGAAGGGCCTTCTTTGCTGTGGCTCCTGCCCTCTGGAACATCATATCCTCAACGTGAGATTGAGTCCCACCCTCCTGACTTTTTGTAAGAGCTTTAAGACCTGACTCTGCCAGATGGCAGTGGGAGAGCTTCACACTGGAAGTGGTTGACTAATTAAAAGCTAATTCCCCCCTCTCCCTTCTTGTGTATCCGGTTCCCTCCTTTGCCATCTTGTGTTAATGAATTTAATTAATCTACCTTTTCATTTTATTTATATCTGGTGATTTTAATGCTTTTATGCTGTGAGCTACCCAGAATCGTTTGAAACGAGATGGATGGCAAATTAAATGAATGAATGAATGAATGAATGAATGAATGAATGAATAAATAAATAAATAAAAAATAAATAAATAAATAAATAAATAAATATGTGTCACACTACTATACAAGCAGCTATTCAATATAATACTGAGGACAAATTATGGTTCTAAGAAATATACGTTTAATGAGGATATTATTATTATTATACCCACATTAAAAACTACTGGTATATTTCTTAAAGCTACAATTTGTTCTCAATATTATTGAATAGTTGTTTGTATAGTAGTGTGACGCATCATCAATTATTATTATTATTATTATTATTATTATTATTATTATTATTATTATTATTATTATTATCATCATCATCATCATCATCGTATGGCATAGTTACAGTAGCCAGGAGACCGCAATGCTATTGCAGAGTAGTAGTCTGGTTTTCCAAGGTACCATCCCTGTTATCGGACAAACTTGTGTGCTTCCCAAGGTACACCACAGGAAGGCGAGCTGGCTTTGCACCACAGAGTGGTTCTTCCTGCAGCGTCACCCAAGGCCCCGTCTCTTCCCGAAGCTGGCTTGCAAACGGGAGCTACAACTGGGAAGGTTCAGAGCCGTCGGGAATCTGACTGCCTGATCAAAGCACAGCTAATCTCCCCACCGATGTGGTACTTTCATAGAACATACTTTTAGACTGTTAGGTGGACAGAAGCTAAGGCAAGTAGCAGGAGTTCACCCTCCTCATAGTACCTGGGCTTGAACGGCCAGAGCTGAGACAAGCATCATGAAGTCACTGAGCTCCATGCCTCCTTTCATGAGGGTGAAAAAATTTACCTATAGATTACTAGATGATTATGACTGTCATATGCTTCATAATGTGGGGATCTATGAAGATCACATATCTAACTTTGCAACAATTTGTCAAAAGTATAAATATCTAACATATGTATTTGCTGTATGAAGACTATAGTGATTTAACAAGCTAACTGTCTTAATTCAATTAATAGCCAGCATTTTTGTATCTTTATCACTTCCATAGCTTCTAACATACTTTTTCAGAGGGGCAATTTATATGGTTGATAGAACAATGAAAAAGTGAGAAATGTTATTAATAAATTATCATTACAGGACACTGTCAGGATAAACAGAAAAATGAAAGATAAAAGATGAGCTGGATTATTTTTGTTGTATTTTAAAAAAAATATTAAGTAGGATATTTCCACAAAATTCCATTTAAAGAGCAATTGCTCATGCACAGTACATGTGAATTGAAAATTTGTTTCAAATAAAAATTAATTGGACAACTAAAGCTGATAGACCAAATTTAATACTGAGGTTAAAAAAAAGAAAAACAGTTGATTCCATTGTTTATTTCTGCCACTTACAGTACTGTTTGTATGAATACTTGGAGTTTACAATGGGCAGAGTTTTTAACCTGTCAGTGTCCCTCCAGAAAAAAGAAATAGCCAGTATGTATTGTAAGCCCTTCATCAGGTGAGTGTCCATGATTTCAGAAAAGCTATTACAGTATTAGAAATGTCCAAGCCCCATAAGGAATGGCTCAAAGCCCCAGCAGTAGTGATACTCACGTTGGCAGTGGCCCCAGGCGTGGCGAGCCCAGCCCCAGCAGCAATCCACTCTGCTCCCAAAACGACATAATCCAGTTGTGGAAAGGATCTGCCTGGGCCACCTGCACCAGCACCAAAAATAAGCTTTAAAGAGTAAGCCCAATGAATCAATTCGCATTAAGTTACAGATCAAGGGTGTCAAACTCAAGTTCGCGGGCTGGATCTGGCCTCTGAGGTCCTTAGCACTGGCCCGTTGGGCTGACCTGGAAACAGTGAAGGACTGGCCCACGGTGCCTCTGCCAGAGAAAACGGAGCTTGGGAGGCCTGCATGCGGCCCTCCCGAGCTCTGTTTTCAGTGGCAGAGGAGGCTGTTGCAGCCAAAAACGGAGCTCGGAAGCCCATTTTCACTGGCAGAATGCTCGGGCCACCACAGGCACCCCCAACAAGAGTGATGTCGAGATGACCATGCCCACCCCGCTATGCCCACCCCAGTCCCCGAAGTTGAACACAATCCTGATGTGGCCCAAATCGAGTTTGACACCCCTGTTACAGATGGTCCAGTGGTGCTGAACTGAATAAACCTCAATTGGCTGGGTTCACACAACGAACTAACTTAGGATACTAGAAACCAAATGGCTGAGTTTACCCAATATGCCAAGTAGAACTATATGCACAACACTTAGTTTCGTATAATGTTTGGATCCAATTTTCACCCTGACTGAAAGGAAATGAGTGCACTGCAGATCTTTTGTTCAATTACACTACACCAATATTTTTGCCCAGGTTTTTTTTAGAAAGAAACAAATCATTGCATTTCTGTGTCCTTATTCTATTTTTGTGAGTTTTTCTTCTTGCAGAAGAGATATCTTGCTGTTGTGATGGCTAACCTTTTCCGGACTGAGTGTCTAGAGCATGCACATGTGTGCGCAAAAGCACGTACATGCACACAAACCCCCAAAATGCAATGCGTGCATGGCCCCTGCATGCCCCCCCACCATGCGTGCAGCCCCCCGCATGCACCCTGCCCCCCCCGTGCTTGTGTACACGGCCACCCGGCACACACCCCATTCCCCACGCGCATGCGCAGCACAGACCCGATGACCAGCTGGCCAGTGAAAGGTGTGCGCACACATGCATAGCAAAGCTGAACTGGGGCAACGGCTCGTGTGCCCACAGAGAGGGCGCTGCGTGTAACCTGTGGCATGCGTGCCATAGGTTTGCCATCACAGCCTTATATCTTGGCAACTTTAAGAGGCATGGACTTTAACTCCCAGAATTCTCCTGTCAGCTCTGGGGAATTCTGGGAGTTGACGTCCATGCCGCTTAAAGTTGCCATGGCTGAGGCACACTGCTCTACTGGATAACGGCAACATCAAGTAACAGGCCACATATAGTATATGTTGGTTATTGCAGATGTTAATTCAATAGACAGAACTTTCAAACTATTTCATTGCATCCCAAATGCTGTATTTTTAATTGGAACTGGTTCAGACATTCAGCTGTCATTTATTAAATAATATTTTTAAGCTTCCAGATTTTATCATTATTTGGAAAGCATGTTTTTACTCTTCTTGTTATCTTGATAAGCCATCTTTAAACCATCTGTCATAAAGTTTTCATATGTTTTTGTACTACTGTTTCATCCCATCTTTAAATGGTCTGGGAAACTATTTTTCCTTCTTAGGCTAGGGTTTTTTTTTTTTGTTTTTTTTTTTTGTAGTTTCTCTTTCCTTCCATCTCTTAATAGCTCAACATATCCAATGCCATGTAGGCTTACTATGGGAATCAAATCTTTATTGTGCTTTTTTGTAAAGATAACTCAACCACATAAGCCAAAGTTTGATAAGGGGTCTTAAAACTCAAGTTGCATGTAAATTCTTCAAGGTAATCAGCCTTTACTTCTAGCTATTCACCACAAAATCAACAGGAAGATATTGATATTACAGAAAGATCAGCTGGAAGATATTGATTTCTAGGCAATTCCCCAGATCTAAAACTAGGATAAGGTCAACATTCTGTGTACCATCCTGCATTCTAATTATATATTGGACATACAACACGCCAGAGATAAGATCAGACGTTCTATCTATGGAGTTGAGCTAGAAAACATTTCTTCCAACATGCTAAAAGTTACAGCAATATATTTTCAAGATGAAGACACTGTATCTCAGTAAAGGGATAAAGTTGGAGCAGCTACAAATACTTTACGATGATGTGTTGTTCCTTTGATTAGCTATAGCAATATCTCTTTGATTACCAATGCTATTCAAAGTTTGCACACCTCTCCTGTTAAAGCACAACACACTATAAAGTAATATAAAGCACACTAGTAAAGCACAGTAGTAGTAAAGCACACTATAAAGTGTGCTTTACTTGAGCAAATCAGTTGACTCCATGGAATAAATAGTGATTACTCAACAAATGGTGAAAAGGATAGATAAAGGGTAAGCTTTAAACTAAGATCCCATCCAGCATATTTTCTTCTAGTCTGTATGACTTATTCCCTAATTTGCATCAACGTTTTTCATCAAATTTTGACACATTATAACTGTAGCAATTACATGCACATTCCTGCTTTTCAGCCCTTGCTTTCAGATTTCATTTATCTACATTCATGTTTAAACTTGAGCTGCAAACTTGTCAGCATGCTATTTCATCAACTTTGTGCTCAAATCATTAACTTCTGACTTATTCAGCATTAATTGAGGTTTTTTTACTATTTGATAGACCTACTTGATAGCAGCAATAGGGATTACAAAGACAAGACATTTAAATGGTTCTTCCTGTAATATTCCTGCAATCTACGTGTGTGTGTGTGTGTTATATACACACTAAAGATCTGATGGCAGCAATTTAGCACCTTTCAGATGCCTTGCATTCTCATAGTCCTCAACAGACACTTTTCCGTTTTCTGAACCATCATAGAATCTTTAGTAAACTGCTTATTTGAAATCAGGGGCAACAGAAAAGATTCATAATTGTCCATTTAACCTACATCGGCAAACAGATTTCTGGATGAGCATCTTATAGTTGTCAAAACAACTAGAGGCATAAATTTGATGCTCATCCTAAGGTGACATTTAAACTGTCAGAGTGTTGAAGGATTCTGATACAGAAGGTTCAACCAGTAAGTGTATTAAAAATTGGAAAGCTATATAAACAAACGAATTCTTTGTGTAACAGCATCCCAATATCTTCCCATGTAATAATATTAATAAAGGTAAAGGTATCCTCTGTCCAATTGTGTCCGACTCTAGGGGGCAATGCCCATCTCTTAGACAAGGAAGTGAGAGTTGTCCAAAGACACTTTCGTGTTCATGTGGCCAGCATGTCCATATGCGGAGGTGCACAGAATGCTGTTACCTTCCCACCGAAGTGGTACCTATTTATCTACTCACATTTGCCTGCTTTTGAACTGCTATGTGGCAGGAGCTGGGGCAGGAATGAGAGCTCATCCCATTGGGCAGTGCTCAGGTCTCAAACCCAGGTTGTCAGCTTTTCAGCTGACAAGCTCAGTGTCTTTAACTGATGAGCCATCACACCCCCTTTTAATAGGCAGATTTAAATCCTGGGCCTTTTCCATTTGCCTTTTTAGGAACATGTCCCTTCTCCTCCCCACTCTGCTATGTGGGGAACTATGAAGAAAGAATTATATTACTCCTTTCATTTCCATTTTTTTGTCAACTAGACCAGATAAAGCCTCTCCCACCGTTAACCTTCTGAACTCTTCCCCCACTCCTGGCCAAGGATCTCTGAAAGAATCAATCTCCAACTCCTTTTTTTAAGTGGAGTGGAAATGATTCTAATAATAAATAAACGATGGATTGGATTCTCTCCCTTTCGCTCTGTCAACTCTTTCAAGCTTCCCCTCCCTGAGATCTCTGGAGAAAGGGGAATGTCCATTACTTCTTCTGGAAAGAATTTCCCCCACACACGCATTCACTCTTGCACCCTCTTGTCAGGCACTTGTCTATTCCTGAATTCATCCCTCTGTTATAAGGGGGTTAATCAGCATAATTTTATCTTCCCCGTTCCCAAATCAGCCCTCTTCTATCTCAAAATCAAAGCTGCTGGAATGCACCAAAGGTGAAGGATATAATCAACTGGTGAGGGCAATGTATTGATTATTATTTTGATAACTTAATTTAAATGCCTAATACTCCTTTCTACTCTTATTTTCCGCACAACAGCCTTGCACTGAGAGTTTGTGACGAGGCCAAAGTCAAACAGTCAGTGTTCATTGCTAAGGTGGGATTAGAACAGCGGTGGGTTTCACATATTCTTGCCATTGGTTCACTCCGTGCGCACATGCTCACTTCCCATGCACACGCCTTTTGCATATGCGCCTGGCCTTCCGTGCATATGCTTTGCTTGCATACGTGGCTTCCATGCATGCGCCCGGCCTCGAAAATGTGGCTAAATAGGACGGCATTATGACGGGGCGGGTGGGCCCTACTGGTTTGCCCGAACTGGCTGAATACCACCTCTGGACTAGAACTCAAAGTCTCCTGGTTTCTAGCATGATGCCTTAAGTACTGCACCAAATTACACTAAATCAAAGGAATGTCAAAGGAAGCAATCCTTGGCTATTTCCCAGGATATCTCTCTTCTATGTATCCTTTCCAATGGATCAAGTATTACAGAACGCTTCTCCTGCATCAGGGGTCTGAAAAAAGGTCCGCTTTGAATTCTTCATCCCTACTTGAAAAGATGGAATAAGCACAATAGAACAATGATACAGAAGGCTGAGGTTCCAAAGCTCAAATGGTAACAAACAAATGTATGTTCAGTGCAGCTTGAAGCTGCTGATAAAAGGCTGCAGGATTGGTACAGGAAAAGGTGTCACATGAATGGTCATATGACAGAGAGAAATCTCTGTTAAGCCTCTCCCTTACTAGACAAGGGAGAGACTTCAGCAATGCAGGTGATGTCAGTTATCAGAACATTTGTTAGTGGTCTTGGCTTGATACAACTGACCCTTGAGGAGATGTTGATCTGTCTGCTACTCTGGACAAAATAGAAGCTCTCAGGGAAAGGGGACAAGCAGGAAACTTTAAGCAACAGTCATGGACAGTAACTGTGTATGATCTAAAATGGCAAACTAGTGTTGAGACATAAACTG